TGACAAGTTTGAAACGAGGTCTGACAATAGTCGTTTTATCTTCTGCTTGCAGTGTGTACATTTTGCCATGTTTGCCTAAAACTTCATAATATTCTCTTGTATACTTTCTTCTATTTTTACGAACACGAATGTGAGTACCTGTCGAGTTCCCATTGTTGTCATAGTCAATAGTATTTTCATATGGGTCGCGTTTAGGTATTTCTATTTTTACTTTGTCACCTTTCTTAAGTTTGAAGCCTGGCATTCTTTCTTGTTTGTCTCTTTTGACTAAACTATTAAATATATAGTCTTTCTCTAAGTCGGGTTGTTTTTCATTTCTTCGGGGAGTGGTTTCCCAAACCTTTTTGTTTACGGTTATTGTAAATATTTAAAACTTGTCTCATCTTTGCCATGGAGAAATGTCTATATTTGTCGTCATATGACATTTCATCTACTTCACCACCTTGTGGTTGGTTTAAGTCTCTTAAGATTTTTATACAACTGTCAATGACACCAAGAGCAGAATGGTTTTGGTCGACAATGAAATATTGGTTTACATTTTTTGAACGCAGATAGTTTTTAATATCGTCTGATTTGAAAGAACTTTCACAGTCAGATGTCAGTTTTGTTGGATGGTATTTGTCAACGAATATTGTCAAAGCAGTTTTCACATCTAAAATATTTTTGGACTGTAATGGTATGGCTTCACAGTATCTTGTGTTTTGACCAACAAATATTAGCCAGTATGGTGGTCCGTCTTCTCTATACCTCGGAATGTTTTCCAAGATATCCATAAACCAAGCATTTGGTGTTGAACTAAAGATTTTTACCATGAGTGCTTTCTTTGTTGCTTTAGAAACATAGGGGTCCTTGTTTGGATTCGTCATTTTTTAACCCATAAGAAATGGGTTTATTTGGCGCATTAGCAGGAGTTGCATCCAGATTTTTGCCCGCAGTGGGAACACTAGCCAGAGGTGCATTTGGAATTGGAAGGAAGATTTTGAGTACATTAGGTATACTGAAAGAGAAAGCACAACCTATTATACAAACTGTACAGAAAGGTTGGGAGGTAGCACGAGATGCAGCAAATCTTATTCCAAATCCTGAAACAAGAGGAAAAGTTCAAGGATGGATGGACAATGTAGGAAGAGAAGCAGGAAACTACTATAACAAAGCAAATGACTACTATAACCAAGCAGGGCACTATATGGACCAAGGTGAAAGATTCTTTAACAGAGGATATAACCATGCACAACAGTGGGTAAACAATAACCAACCTCAACCGCCTCAAACTTGGGGAATGTAAAGTTTTTTACTGAGATGAAATGAACAATACAGCATTGAGACAAATGGGTTCAAGATGGATTTGTCGACTTCCAGCAGTTACACAACCACGTGTTTGTCAAGTTCTTCCTATACCTCAGGAAGTTTTAGACCGACTTAAAAAACCTAAACAACCAGTTGAAAACAAACCAAACTAAAATTTTTTACTGAGATGAAATGACCGAAGAAGTTGAAACGGTAGATTTGACACCACAAACAAAAAGTTCAGAACCATTGTCAAAACCTGTCAAAGAACTTACAGATGAAGAGAAAAATTCAATAATAGAAAGTGCCAGGTCTGGAAATACAAACCCTAACTATAAAGTCACTTTTCATAGAAATGGAACGGCTAGTATCTCAAAAAAGAAACAGACTCTCACAAATAAAATATTGAAGTCTGAAGGAGCTTTCGAGACAACAGATGGAAAAGTTTACTTCACTGACCATCAGTTCATTATAGAACATCTCATTGACTTAGAGTCGAAATATTCTAAACTTTACAACAAACACAAAAAGTTGAAAGGAAAACAAAAACAAATGGCATATGATATTTATGAAGATGTTAACGACACAACCATACCTGCAAGTGAGGTAAAGTCAGAGGAACCGAAAAGTGACGAAAAACCGATAGAAGAAGGGAAGCCAAAAACTGAAGATAAACCAAAACCAAAGTTTAGTCAACCTTCATTAGCTGGTATGGGTTGGCGTCAAAGGCTTCTGGTAGCTGGTGGTTACGTAAAGTAAAGAAAAAAATATTTTTTTAAAAAATATATTTTTTTATTTTATTTGAAATGTACGCTGAGTTTGTTGGAACAGACCGTTGGAAAACTTGTTTGTTAGATGAGAAATATGAAATTCACTGTTGTGAGTCATTTGAAGTCAGAAACAAAAAGACAAAAAGAGTTTTAAGCGGATGGGAGCAAAAAGACGGATATGCTGATATGAAGATGGGTGGAAAACACTATCTTAAACATGTTGTCATTGCAACTCATTTTATACCGAACCCTAACAATTTACCTTTTGTAGACCATATAAACCGTATAAGAAACGACAATAGACTTGAAAATTTACGTTGGGTTACTCGTTCTGAAAACAATAAGAACAAAGGCAAATTTGGAGATATAGTATTCGAATTTGTCGACGAACTAGAAGATGAAGCAATTGAAATTACAGACTATGGCAAGCATACGTTTGAGTTTTACTACTATAGCGAAGAACAAGACTCTTTCTACTTTTATACCGGTGTAAACTATAGAAAATTACAAGTATGTTTTACTAAGGCGGGCTATGCTCATGTAAACGCTAGAGATACAGATGGAAAATACGTTCAAATACTTCTTAACAAATTCAAGAAGCTATATGGCATACCATTTTAAAACAGTATATTTTTACATATATTAAATGCTTCGGGTTGAAAAACAAAGAACAAAAGTAGCAGATACAAAACAAACATTTTATGAGCTTACAAAGGGTGTTATGAATGAATTCAGCAACATACATCCTGACCTCGTTCATTTTGTTGCTAAATTCAGTAAAAATATATTTTAGGTGAAGAGGTGAGATTTCACCTCTTTTTTCACCTGTTTTTTCACCCTCATGAATTTTCATGAATTTTGTGCTGAATTCGACAAAAATGAGTTTTTGGTTGAAAGAATACGGTGGAGCCAAAAGTGGCTCGACCTCAAAACAAGCATTTTGTGAAGAATATACCAACCCGCGGAATTCGGCGGGTTGCTTTTTATACAAAGTTCAACAGGTGAATTTTCATGAATTTCCTTAAGATAGAAAAAAAGTGAGTTAAAATGAGATGTTTACTGAACTGGCTGAATGCCGCCTTCTGTAGTTATGTAGAATGGTTGACCAGAGAAGTGGAACAGTGCTCTGAGAATTTGTATAATTCGTGGAATTGGACTCTCTCTGTTTGGTATTTTTATCCAAGGACGCTTGGCAAAGAACTTAACAAGAGCTTCTCTTTTGGCGTCCTTTATGTCGTCGAAAGGAGTGTTTTCTGGTATTTGAATTGGAATTCCGGTTTCAATTTCGATTTTCAGCGCACCTCTTCCAGACAACCAGAAGCCGAGGGACTTGTTGGCTTTGTCCTTGCCCAAATACTGCTTAACAACTTCATTTATCTCTATAAGGTAAATTGCCTCATCTAATGGCTCGATGTTGTCCATTGTACTTTTTCAGAACAATACTTGTACTGTTTCAGAACAATACTTGTACTTTTTCAGAACAAGACTTGTACTTTTTCAGAACAAGACTTGTACTTTTTCAGAACAATACTTGTACTTTTTCAGAACAATACTTGTACTTTTTCAGAACAAGACTTGTACTTTTTCAGAACAAATTTCCCGTAAAAGCTCTCAATTTGTGAGAAAAATTTTCTGTTTCAGAACAAGACTTGTACTTTTTCAGAACAATACTTGTACTGTTTCAGAACAATACTTGTACTTTTTCAGAACAAGACTTGCACTGCTTCAGAACAATATTTGTACTGTTTCAGAACAATATTTGTACTGTTTCAAGACAATATTTGTACTGTTTCAAGACAATATTTGCACTGCTTCAGAACAATATTTGTACTTTTTCAAGACAATGTCCGACGGTTAAGCCACAAACGAATGTCCGACGGTTAAGCCAAAAATATTTTTTATTTTTATTGTAAGAACAGTATGTCAGTCGAAGCAAAAACGTTCACGAACAAATCTAATGGCGAAACATTCACAAAAGGCACTTACAACGGTATTGAAGTCTTACGTAGAGACAAGGATGGTTATATAAATGTAACAAATATGTGTCAGCAGTTTAGGAAAGACTTTAGAAAGTTGTTGGAAAATAAGTCCTGGGAAGAGTATTATACGGCATTTTGTGAAGAATATACCAACCGCCGGAATTCCGACGGTTGCTTTTTATACAAAGTTCATGCAGGAATTCCTGATGAAATCAAACAGGTTAGAGGAACGTATGTAGACCCAAGACTCGTAAACTATATATTGCAATGTGGGCTTCTCCAAAATATTGTATAGCAGTTGGAAAAATTCTGGACTCCATAGACAAGAAAGTTCATGAGAAGTTAGATGAAGAAGAAGAACTCGAAGATACAGTAGAAAATGCTAAACCTTTGTTCGAAGAAGAAGTTAGAAAAATGCATGAAAAACAAATAGAACATGAACGTGAGATATGTTCTGGTTATAGAGACTCTCCATACGAACTAGACCAATGGGAACAAGAAGATTTAAAGAGAGAATTTAGAGAATATGAACTCGCTAAGATAGCATTAGAAGCTGCAGAAGAGAAGTTAAAAGCTTGGGGTTGTTTTGTACAAAAATATTGTGAGTAAATGAACCATTTTGTTGCTGAATTCAATAAAAATATATTTTAGGGTAGAAGGTTAGATATAACCTGTTTTCTAACCTCTTTTCTACCCTCTTGAATTTTCATGAATTTCATCGTAAATGTTTTGTCAAGACTTCTTCATAAATGTTTTGTCAAACATGAACGTAAATGTTTTGTCAAGACTTCTTCATCGTAATGAGTGTAAAGGACCCAAAAATATATTTTAGGGTAGAAGGGTAGCTCTACCCTCTTTTCTACCCTCTTTTCTACCCTCTTGAATTTTCATGAATTTTCCCGAAATAAAAAATAAAACTAACTTTATTTTATTTATTTTTTTTATTTTGTATAAAAAAATAAAAATGTCAACAATCGGCACAACAACAATTCAAACAACTACAGCACCAAACTCTTTAGTCATGAACCCAACTTCAATGTTAGTAGAGATGAAAAGCTTCATTCCTTCTTCATATACTTTCGAAACAAAAATCCAGAAGATAAAGCAAGAACTTTTAACAAGTAATTTAGACTGTAGTGCGAAAGATGAAACAAATGAACAGTATCTTTATGAAATGCAGGATATTATTGACCATCTACCTAAACTTCCTGAAATACAACAACAAAAACTAACCATTCCCGAATTTGACGAAATAGAAGTCAGACTGACTGACTCAGTAGAAATAAAGAAGTTCATACGAAAGGTAAACTATGAATTCCTTGGATTTCATTGCAACCACAAAGTCATGGACATTGACCTTTACAAATCCGAAGAATTTAAGACCTACGACAACTTTGTTTCGTTAGTTGCAAAATGTGTTTGGGAAATAAGAGATAAAGATAGTAGGGGTAAGGTATGGAACGAACAAATAAAACCCGCTATGTTCGAGATGAAGAAAACCATTGACGCCTTAGTCATACTAGCAGGTAAGATTTCAATGTACAATGCTAAAATGAACCCACAATGTTCAAAATGTAAAGCAGCAATGAGGAAATATAACTACTCCGTCAAAGAGATAGAAAGAATGAGAAACGACTATGCAGATTTAAAGACAGAAATGTCAAACAATGAGTTTGAAACAGTTGGAAAGATAGACAATGACACCAAAGTGGTTAGAATAGGTGATTTAAACGTAAGATACTCAAAGAAATACAACAAATATTCTTTGTCAGACATTTTATCTCCATCTGGAAAGAAAGCAAAGGACTGGGTTAGAATTGCTTCTAGTCAGAAAATTTTGACAAGAAATCCTGAGCTTATGATATCGGTAAGATTCTATGGAACTACAGCATATCTCATCGACAAAAGTCTTATACCAATAGTTTTGTTATGGTTAGACCCAGTTGTTGGATATAATTTCATAACATATGGTTCGTTCGACTCAGAACGTTGCAGTGAAGGCTTACTTTACATCGTTCAGAAACCGAAGGACTTCAATACAAAGAGATATAAGATAGGAAGAACATTTAATATAACTCAAAGATATGACAGTACAGTCAATAGAGTCAAGGTTGTGTTGGTTAACGATATGAGAGCTGCAGAAACAGAACTACTTGAAAAGTTTGAGAAAATGTATGGTGCTCCCATAAAAGGTAAAGAAACGTTTGAAGTAGATGAGATAGATAAAGCTATAAAATTATTTGACGAAGTTGCTGAAAAATACATGTAAAAATAACGTTTACCATGTAAAACGCTTATAAAATAACTGGGGTAGAAAAGAGGTTAGAAAACAGGTTATATCTAACCATCTACCCTAAAATATATTTTTTGGTCATTTACGCTCATTACGAAGAAGAAGTTTCGACAAAACATATATGAAGAAGTTTCGACAAAACATATATGAAGAAGTCTTGACAAAACATATATGAAGAAGTCTTGACAAAACATTTACGATGAAATCATGAAAATTCATGAAAATTCACGAGGGTAGAAAAGAGGTTAGAAAACAGGTTATATCTAACCTTCTACCCTAAAATATATTTTTGCTGAAAAATGACCAAATTTCATGAATTTCCTTAAGATAGAAAAAATAAAGTTAGTTTTTTATAAAATATTTTTTTTATTTTGTATGTAAGAACATATATGACAACAACAGAGAACACAACAACAGTTATAGTCCATGAAGCTATAAATGAAGAATATGAGTGGGTTCAGTTTAACAAACAGTTACGTCTCATTCGTTCGGTCAAAGATGACATGTACCAAATGCAAAGTATTTTGACAGCATGTGCTACACCAGATACTAAGAAACCACAAGACTGGTTTGAATTAAATAGCACTCATGAACTTTTGAGTGAGTTCGAACATGTAGAACTTAAAAAGATGTACCAAGACAGACAAAACTTACCATCGTATCTAAAAGGTATATATGTTCATAAGTTCCTAGTTAGTTCAATAGCAATGTGGGCTTCACCTCGCTATGCTTGGTATATTTACAGACTTCTTGACGAAGTTGCTGAAAAATACATGTAAAGCGTTTATTTTTGGTCTTTTATACAAGATAGAAAAAATAAAGTTAATTTTATTTTTTTTATTTTTTTATTTTGTATGTAAAGACAGATATGTCAACAACAGAGAACACAACAACAGTTATAGTCCATGAAGCCATAAATGAAGAATACGAGTACATACAGTATAACAAACAGTTACGTCTCATTCGTTCAGTCAAAGATGACATGTACCAAATGCAAAGTATTTTGAATACTCTTCGTTCTACAAAGCAAGCACGTCATTGGTTTGAAAACCAACAGACAAAAGAACTTTTAGAAGAATTTCCTCATATGTTTGCGAGTGGTAGAAAACCGCGGAACGAGATTCCGTACGAAAATCGTAAAAATTTGCCAAATAGTTTGAAAGGATATTATGTTCATAGACTTCTTGTAAATGCTGTTGCAATGTGGGCTTCGCCTCGTTACGCTTTTATATTTTCATGATGTTAGATGAAATTCATAGACAAGAACGTGAAGAGATGGAAAAGAAACTTCATGCAAAAGATGAAGTCATTGAAGCAAAAGACAAAACCATACAGAAAAGAATACCACGTTCGGTACCAAAAGGAAAGGAAAAGAACTATAAGTATATGATTTATACTGAAGAGATGGAAAATGAAGAAGATAAAGATATGGTTATGTTGCATTTAGTCAGAAGAAACAACAAAAGCTTTTACGACCTTGCTAAGATTTACAAATCTGACAGAAATTGGTTCTATCGCGAAAACTTACCGATTTCAATGACACCAAATGAAGATGTGAAACAAATAGTTCAAGATACGTTACCTCAAACACACTATGATATTAAAGGTTGTACAATACTTACCTTCAAAGAAGATTTGCCATTGTTAAAGGAAAAAATAACAGAGTATTTTGACAACTTTAAACAAGTAGGGTAAATTTCAATCTTTATTTTTCAAGCTTGCCTTTTACATTCTGCCTGAGGAAGTCTTTAACAAGCTCGTTAATTTCAATTAGATAAATTGCTTCGTCTAAGGGGTCAAGCTCCATACTGAGTCAGTACAATATTGTACTTTTTCAAGACAATGTTGTATAAATTCAGTACAATATTGTACTTTTTCAAGACAATGTTGTATAAATTCAGTACAATATTGTACTTTTTCAGAACAATGTTGTATAAATTCAGAACAATGTTGTATAAATTCAGTACAATGTCTCTCAAATTTGAGTACGGCTGTACTTTTTCAGAACAAGTCTTGAACTTTTTCAGAACAATGTTGTACTTTTTCAAGACAATGTTGTACTTTTTCAAGACAATGTTGTACTTTTTCAAGACAATGTTGTACTTTTTCAGAACAATGTTGTATAAATTCAGTACAATATTGTACTTTTTCAGAACAATGTTGTATAAATTCAGTACAATGTCTCTCAAATTTGAGTACGGCTGTACTTTTTCAGAACAAGTCTTGAACTTTTTCAGAACAATGTTGTACTTTTTCAAGACAATGTTGTACTTTTTCAAGACAATGTTGTACTTTTTCAAGACAATGTTGTACTTTTTCAAGACAATATTGTACTTTTTCAAGACAATATTATATTGTTTCAGAACAAAGACGGTTAAGACACAAACGAATGTCCGACGTACCACCAACCGAGTCCATTCCAAAGCCAGAAGAACCGACAGCCCCAGCACCACAACAGACTAAGACTCAAACTCTTACATTTTTACGCTTGACTTTTTACAATTTGAACTTTGTTCGCGTAGATGTGAATTCTGAAAGAAGTATGAGGGTCTTGTATGACTTTGTACTTCTCCCATAGTTCATGTCTGTCAAACTTACCTGCCATGGACTCTTTCATAAGTTCCATGAAATCGTCTTCGGACAATCCAGGGAAAAGTATGATATCAGTAAGTATTCTCTTTACATCCTTACTTAAACTCTTGGCTGTCTGTACACAAATGACAACTGAAATGTTAAAGTGTCTGAGCTTCTTAAGAATTCGACACATGTCTTGTTCTCTGTTCTTTAACAAAGGATGAGAAGCAAAGTCATCTAAGATAAGAAGACATCTATGAGGGTAAGTCTTCCAATCGTACGATTGCAATTTCTTCGAAATGTATTCTATCTCTTTCTGTTTGTTTCTGAAGTGTTTCTTCTCTAATATTCTCTGCATTTCCTCATTTGGGTCTTTAAACTTCGAATTTATATACTCATTTATAGCATTGTACTTCAAAACTCTTCTTTGGTACTTCTTTATCCAATCTAACAACTCAGAGTCTTTTATACATACTAACTTAGACTTCTTTATAATATCTTTGAACGAATTGACGGTTTGATCGAATTGACCAGAAGTACTACAAATGACTACTAACTCATAGAATGGGTTCTTCTCATCTAGTTCTTGTTGTTGTGCAGCCATTTTAAGATAAGTGAAAGTCTTACCCGACCCAGGTGGTGCGATTAGACCTGTTATACCATTCTGAGCAAATAAGAACTTGTCATGTATAGGCTTTATCTGAGCATTTTCTAACTTCCTCTTGTTCTTCTTCAAAACATTCTCAAATTTCTTGTCAATGTCAGCAAACTTTTTTTCTAACATATTTTTAGAAAAATTAAAAATTTTATCTTTTAGAAAATGTCTAGCGATTTCGCTATCTATATTCGAGACAAGCTTTTCGACAGCAAAACATCTGTCGACCATAAAATCTTACATAGTGTAAACAAGAAAGGTGAATTTGTTCTAAAGTTCTGTTTCTGGGAATATGACAAGAACCATAAAACATTACAAAGAGCAGTCTTAAAATTTGTCAATGACAGACTTGTTGACAGAGATGACACCGATTGGAAAGATGAAGTCCAACAAAAGTTCTTAGAATGCAAAGAAGACACATGCGCTGTTCTTGAAGATGAAATAGGAAACAGAATAGAAGAGCTATTAAAGGACAAAGAACTTTTACATAAATATGGTTCTGAGAAATTTGACATAACTCCACCAGAAAAGAAGAAGAAGAGAGAGAAGAAAGAAAAGAAAGTAGAAGAAGAGAAGAAAGAACCTGAACCAGTTCCAGAGAAAAAGAAATTTGACATGTAAAAATAAAATTTTATTTTTAGAACATTTCTGGGTCAATGTCAATGTTCTCTTCCTCTTTAGGAGCAAACACTGGCTTAGACTCTAAAATCTTTTTACCCAATTTACCTTGAACTTCAACTATCTTAGACTCATAATATTCATAGTCGTCTGCTTTCTTTGGTTCATAAGGTATAACAAGTTTGTATGCTTTGCCTTCTTTAAGGTTTGAGAACCTTCTGTCAAAATTTTCTTTGACTGCTAACAAACCTTCTATGTCTAAGTCTTCAAATTTCGCACCATTTTTAGTCACAATAGCAAACTTAACTGGTTCGATGTTCCAAACTTTGTCAAATGTAGACTTTTCAAAATGGTAGAAGTAAACATTCAAATAAGCGAATGGGTCTAGTTCTTCTTTGACTTCTGTCATGTACTTGTTGACTGAAATATATTTCGTCATCTTTTCTATCGGATAAAAAAATATTTTTTTTTAAAACGTTTTAAAATGGTATGCCATATAGCTTCTTGAATTTGTTAAGAAGTATTTTAACGCATTTTCCATCTGTATCTCTAGTGTTTACAAAAGCATAGTCTTCCTTAGTAAAACATACGTGTAATTTCCTATAGTTTACGCCGGTATAAAAGTAGAAAGAGTCTTGTTCTTCGCTATAGTAGTAAAACTCAAACGTATGCTTGCCATAGTCTGTAATTTCAATTGCTTCATCTTCTAGTTCGTCGACAAATTCGAATACAATATCTCGAAATTTGCTTTTGTTCTTATTGTTTTCAGAACGAGTAACCCAACGTAAATTTTCAAGTCTATTGTCATTTCTTATACGGTTTATATGGTCTACAAAAGGTAAATTGTTAGGGTTCGGTATAAAATGAGTTGCAATGACAACATGTTTAAGATAGTTTTTTCCACTCATCCTCATCATAGCATATCCGTCATTTCGCTCCCATTCGCTTAAAACTCTTTTTGTCTTTTTTTTTCTGACTTCAAATGACTCACAACAGTGAATTTCATATTTCTCATCTAACAAACAAGTTTTCCAACGGTCTGTTCCAACAAACTCAGCGTACATTTCAAATAAAATAAAAAAATATTTTTTTTAAAATATGTTGTTTTCTTTTACTTAACATAGCCACCAGCTACCAAAAGTCTTTGACGCCAACCCATACCAGCTAATGAAGGTTGACTTGGTTTAGTTTGGAAACTAACCTTTGGTTTTGGTTTATCTTCAGTTTTTGGCTCACCTTCTTCTATCGGTTTTTCGTCACTTTTTGGTTCACCTGACTTTACTTCACTTGCAGGTATGGTTGTGTCGTCAACATCTTCGTAAATATCATATGCCATTTGTTTTTGTTTTCCTTTCAACTTTTTGTGTTTGTTGTAAAGTTTAGAATATTTCGACTCTAAGTCAATGAGATGTTCTATAATGAACTGTTGGTCAGTGAAGTAAACTTTTCCATCTGTTGTCTCGAAAGCTCCTTCAGACTTCAATATTTTATTTGTGAGAGTCTGTTTCTTTTTTGAGATACTAGCCGTTCCATTTCTATGAAAAGTGACTTTATAGTTAGGGTTTGTATTTCCAGACCTGGCACTTTCTATTATTGAATTTTTCTCTTCATCTGTAAGTTCTTTGACAGGTTTTGACAATGGTTCTGAACTTTTTGTTTGTGGTGTCAAATCTACCGTTTCAACTTCTTCGGTCATTTCATCTCAGTAAAAAATTTTAGTTTGGTTTGTTTTCAACTGGTTGTTTAGGTTTTTTAAGTCGGTCTAAAACTTCCTGAGGTATAGGAAGAACTTGACAAACACGTGGTTGTGTAACTGCTGGAAGTCGACAAATCCATCTTGAACCCATTTGTCTCAATGCTGTATTGTTCATTTCATCTCAGTAAAAAAATTTACATTCCCCAAGTTTGAGGCGGTTGCGGTTGGTTGTTGTTTACCCACTGTTGTGCATGGTTATATCCTCTGTTAAAGAATCTTTCACCTTGGTCCATATAGTGCCCTGCTTGGTTATAGTAGTCATTTGCTTTGTTATAGTAGTTTCCTGCTTCTCTTCCTACATTGTCCATCCATCCTTGAACTTTTCCTCTTGTTTCAGGATTTGGAATAAGATTTGCTGCATCTCGTGCTACCTCCCAACCTTTCTGTACAGTTTGTATAATAGGTTGTGCTTTCTCTTTAAGTATACCTAATGTACTCAAAATCTTCCTTCCAACTCCAAATACACCTCTGGCTATTGTTCCCACTGCGGGCAAAAATCTGGATGCAACTCCTGCTAATGCGCCAAATAAACCCATTTCTTATGGGTTAAAAAATGACGAATCCAAACAAGGACCCCTATGTTTCTAAAGCGACAAAGAAAGCACTCATGGTAAAAATCTTTAGTTCAACACCAAATGCTTGGTTTATGGATATCTTGGAAAACATTCCGAGGTATAGAGAAGACGGACCACCATACTGGCTAATATTTGTTGGTCAAAACACAAGATACTGTGAAGCCATACCATTACAGTCCAAAAATATTTTAGATGTGAAAACTGCTTTGACAATATTCGTTGACAAATACCATCCAACAAAACTGACATCTGACTGTGAAAGTTCTTTCAAATCAGACGATATTAAAAACTATCTGCGTTCAAAAAATGTAAACCAATATTTCATTGTCGACCAAAACCATTCTGCTCTTGGTGTCATTGACAGTTGTATAAAAATCTTAAGAGACTTAAATCAACCACAAGGTGGTGAAGTAGATGAAATGTCATATGACGACAAATATAGACATTTCTCCATGGCAAAGATGAGACAAGTTTTAAATATTTACAATAACCGTAAACAAAAAGGTTTGGGAAACCACTCCCCCGAAGAAATGAAAAACAACCCCGACTTAGAGAAAGACTATATATTTAATAGTTTAGTCAAAAGAGACAAACAAGAAAGAATGCCAGGCTTCAAACTTAAGAAAGGTGACAAAGTAAAAATAGAAATACCTAAACGCGACCCATATGAAAATACTATTGACTATGACAACAATGGGAACTCGACAGGTACTCACATTCGTGTTCGTAAAAATAGAAGAAAGTATACAAGAGAATATTATGAAGTTTTAGGCAAACATGGCAAAATGTACACACTGCAAGCAGAAGATAAAACGACTATTGTCAGACCTCGTTTCAAACTTGTCAAAGTTCAAGGTGGTATACTTTCAAAGACAGTTCCTAACAAATATAAGACAACTCCTGACGAATATGCTAAAGAAGTTGAAAATGACGACTAAGCATTTCTATACCATGCGTAAACTGTCATGTAAGGTGGCATGTAGTCTTTACTTTGTCCCGTTGTTTGCGTATATCCTGAAACGCGATGTGTATGGCTTCCTCCTACCTCAGTGTTACTCCAGTAACAATTTATAGCAAACTTAACGTCCTCTTTAACATCATATCCTTTACCTTTTGTCATTCCTGACCAATCCCAAAATCTATGACTATGCAAACCTGCTTCAGATGTAGTTAAACTTACGTAGTGACTGTGCGCAGGTAAATTTGCACCTGAAATCGTTTTACTTCCACCTGTTTCCTTTGAAGAGTTTGCACAATACAAAAAACCTGTCGACTATTTGAGTCCAAGTTCCAAAACCAAGTACTACTTCTGGTCTGGTAGAGTTCATTGACGTGTAAATAGAACCTATAGGATATACTGTTTGAAGTATTTCTGTCTTTAACGTTTGAAGCTCTGTTTTGTCAGCTTTTTTATCATATAAATCTTGAGCAGTGAATTTAACTTTGTTTTCATCCTCCATGACATAGACATTTCTACATCTAATGTATCTCATCGTTGTTATGTCTTCATCCGATGTTAAACCTTGTGGAAAGTTAGGAGGTTTCCAATTTAATACATCCCCACCAGTTTCTTCAAACCGTTCCTTCAATATTTTCTATACCAACAGTTGCGAAGAAATCGTGTGTATGTCCAACGTCACTTTTCCTGTTTAAGGTTTCTTGTAAGTTTGTAATATTTGCAATGGTATGTGTATGAGTCTTTTTAGAATATTCTTTGTCAGCTCTTGTCACTTCACTTGACATTTTATTGTCAACATATGTTTTATCCGCTTTGTCATCTAACATTGCTGGTAGTTCATCTACGTCATAGATGTTATGTGTATGGTGTTTTTGTGGGTATGTTCTATCTGTCCATGCGAGAATATAGTCTCTTGTTGCATCTACATACTCTTTGTCAGCTTTGTTGTCAATATCTGCTTTCAAAAGAAGTTCATCTATAGGTTTCTCGTTTAAAGTTCTTTTTGTTGGATTTATACAAACAGTATGGTTCTTACTGTCTTGAAACAGAAACTCATCTGTCATTGGGTTTATCGTCAGTTTTAAGTTTCCTTCTTTCAATGACTCAGATATCTTAGAATAGTTTGAAAAGTTTGTTGTGTTCTTATTTAGAGCTTGCAAAATGAGTTGTCGGTTGTGTTGTATTTCTCTCATAGACGCTGTTTCTTTCGACATTTTTTTCTAGATAAAATATGCTTCCAATAGAAAAAGAAAATTCAAGAGTTGCTACAACTAAACCATTAGATGAACTTTTTACTAATGTCGGTCAAAAGTTTGAGACAGAGACCGTAAAGCATGAAGGCTATCGTTTTGACTACCCATTAAGATGGCTAAGAGACCCATCTGTCACAAAAGCTATTGGCTTTCGTAGAATGAAGTTTGTGTCTGTAGAAGATAAAAGTTTTCCATTTATTGTAAGGTTTCATATAGATTATATATCTGAAGGGAAACGAAAAATGTGGGAAGAAATTGAGCTAATACAAGTTGACCTTTCATCTTCTCTACAGACTGCGTTAAAAAATATAGAAGATAAAATAAATTCATGTTATGCAAAATATGCTGATGAATATGCAAATACCGAGAGCACACTTTATGTGAGAATTGTATATGACAAACAAAATTCACAAGTGTCATTTCAAATCTACGAAGACAATCCAAAGAAAGACGAACAAATATATACAGAATTCACTGCAATGTCATGGTATTATTTGCAAAGAATGTTAAATCAGAAAGTCGAACTTCCTTTAGCAAATATTTACAGTCGATATGCAAGAGATGAACCATATTTATTTAAAGATGTTTTCGACTCAGATGCTATTATAGTTCATGCTTCATTTTCTGGTGCACAAAACTCTTTTTTATGCTTGGCAAATGACTTTTACGAAAAACCTACAAAGCTATATGAACCACCAAGTGGAAGTATTTCAGACTTTCAAGTATGGTTTACAACAGATGGAAGAAAGAGAATAGTTCCATTATACCATGCGTTTTACTTAGAACTTAGTTTCATATACAACTACTATCGAACGGTAAAAATATAATTTTTAATACGGTTGAGGTGTTGGATTTGGTTGCCAACTAGACTGTGGTGCAGGTTCAGGCTGTTGTATAACAGGAGCTTGTTCTTCTGGTTCAGGGTCTTTAGGTATAATACCAACAAACTGACCTACTCTTTTACCAATATTTTTGACTCCGTTCCAAATTCCTCTTCCGACAGATTTTATTCCATTCCATATACCTCTTCCAACATTTCGAAAGAAGTTTCCTATTCTTCCAAAGAAACCCATTTTACTATATGTAAAAATCTAATGTCCGCCTAGTCTCTTACGTTTCCTGTTGAGTTCCATAGCATTCTTTAACTGGAGCTCATACATTCTGTTTCTCCTCTGGTAGAAAACATATTCTGGGTCAACTCCTGTGTTCGCGTCATCTGCATAGAGTTGTTTATATCCCACTTCGGGGTTTGTATAAAACTCTTTCCATCTCATATTTGCATACCATGGTGGTAAGCCTAACGCAGCGTCATTTGACATGGCAGTTTGCATTTGTACATCTGTTGGCACTTGACCATAGTTTGCCATTGCAGTTTGTATTCTAACTTCATTTGGAATATTCTCTGGGTTTGGTTGTCCAGGTTGCTGTGCATTTGCTAAGTTCTGTGCGTCCATTTAATATTAGATAAAAATATCTCTTACGAGTACATATACTGAACATTTGCAGGCATTGGTTCATCTTCATATTCTCTGTACTTTTCTGCCACGTCAAATAAATAAATGACACAATGGAAAAAACCTAAAAAGTAGTCCTATTTCAAACCACATTTACTTACTAGTAAAATTTCTTTGTTATGACACTTTCTCCAGTTTATAGGACCTCTCTCATATTCTATCTTATCGTATCTAAACTCATAGTCATGTATGTCCTCTAACCATCTCATGACACTTTCCAAACCACTTTTATCGGATGTAAAGTAAAAGCATGGATGGTTATGTAAAACGTCTAAAGTTTCTAAAGAGTCTCTCAAAGTCCAGTCTACTTGGTATTGAAAATCCCATGTGTTATAGAACGGCGGGTCTACTATAAAGAAAACATTTTCCTTGTCTTTATATTTTTCATACAACTCTGTCCAATGACATCTCACAAACTCTATACCCTCAATATATTTTTCTATGTTCTCTTTGAAAACATTTGTATAGTTAAGATATAAAACTTTTGACATAAGTGTTTCAATGTCATGAACTCTTATAGCACCACTATATAATAGTCTAGCAGATATACTATCCCAGTCTATATATTCTGCTTTTTTCAAAACCTCTCTGACAGTATTTTTTTTATCTAATGGTATACGTTCCATCTTACCTATAGGTATCTTTTCTTTTAACGCTTTCAATATATTGTTTGTGTCTGGAATATGTTTGAGACGGTCCATATAGTTGTCGAAGTCATTGCATATAATCTTTGAGTCAGGAAATACAGTATGGCACAGATGGGATATATAGAAACTTCCACCGAACAAATCTACAAATGTTAGACCATTCGGTAGTTTCTTAAGTTCTCTCAATATAATATCTTTACATTTACTCTTATTTCCAAAGAACGGTAACGGTGGTTTTGTAAAATTCATTTTATATACAATAAAAATGTTTTTTTCCTGAAAAGTGACAGATGTTTTATTGTGACTTCTTCGTAAAGACTTTGTTGTGACTTCTTCGTAAATGAGTGTAAATGACCCAAAAATATATTTTAGGGTAGAAGGTTAGATATAACCTCTTTTCTAACCTCTTTTCTACCCTCTTGAATTTTCATGAATTTCTTCGTAAAGACTTTGTTAAGACTTCTTCATCTAATTTCTCATGAACTTTCTTGTCTATGTTTTGTTGAGATTTCATCGTAAAGACTTTGTTGAGATTTCTTCGTAAATGACCCTAGTAGTATATTTTTGGTGTAAATTTCATGAAAATTCAAGAGGGTAGAAAAGAGGTTAGAAAAGAGGTTATATCTAACCTTCTACCCTAAACATTATTTTTGTCTGATTTTACGATGAAATCTTGACAAAACATTTACGAAGAAGTCTTGACAAAACATTTACGAAGAAGTCTTGACAAAACATTTACGAAGAAATCTTGACAAAGTCTTTACGATGAAATCTTGACAAATTCAAGAGGGTAGAAAAGAGGTTAGAAAAGAGGTTATATCTAACCTTCTACCCTAAACATTATTTTTGTCTGATTTTACGATGAAGTTTTGACAAAGTCTTTACGATGAAGTTTTGACAAAGTCTTTACGATGAAATCTTGACAAAGTCTTTACGATGAAATCTTGACAAAGTCTTTACGATGAAATCTTGACAAAACATGAAAAACATATATAATTTGTGAAAAGCTCCTGGAAGACCCGTATATAAGAACTTCATTTCTCCTAAACATCTTCAGGGCTAGAAGGCACGAAGTGCCTGGAAGCCCCACTACCTTTTTTTTTTTTTTTTTTTTTTTTTTTTATATTTCATATTTTTATCGATTTTTAAAGTTTTTGCGAAAAGTATTCAATTATTTTTGCTATTTGGTCGGGTAAATGTCAGATTTGCGACATTTTCTGATATGATATTCAGATTCTACGTTGATAATAATGCTTATAGAACCCTCTTGCTATTGTGTCAAAATTGCGAAACCGATAGCAAAAATATCTCGCAATATCAAAATTGAGATATTGAGTGAATTATGCATTATAGAGATTAAAAATCTGATTTGTGAAAACATCTCATCAGTTTCTAGCTAATTCAAAAATCTTTACTATCTTATTCGATTAAAATGAAAAGGGAATAGTTTCATTATGCTTTAAATGACAGCCTTATAATATAATCATAGTTTTCGCTCAATATGCAGCATTTTTTTTTCGAAATCTATGGTCAATATCCTAAATACTGATTGCTTTGCATTCATATCTCTTACATTTTCTATACCCACATCACTATTCATTGCTATTCCTATCTTTTTCATTTTTGTTTGTTTCTCATAATTTCTCAAAAAACACGATAACTTGATATTTGTAAATATCATACTTTATAACGTAAATAAGAACTTGACCTATTAAGAAAAGCAGTAATGAAAAGAAAATCTGAAATTCATAAAAATTACAAGTTTCTGATGACAATTAGCTTAATTAAACCAGGTACAAGATTATATAATTGTATTTTCTATCCAATTATCCATATAATATCTTATCCAGAAAAAATAACTTGATCAATACCAAATGATTTTTTAACTAGTAAATAAAGTATTTTCTTTACACACACATTGTATATCATAGTTTTTTTTTTGGTTTCGCAAAACATCCAAAAACAAATATGCTATAAAAGTGACAATTTTAGCAAAACGAAACCCTTACTTTTATTTATTATTTTAAATATTATTTAATTTTATTATTTGAATAGGCCAACTTATATTTGAGAAGCTCAATTTGAGACCACTTAAAACATTGAAATATCATAAATATTGAAATATTAAAAAGTGTATTTCAAAATATTGAAATTATAAAAATTTATAATACTGAAATTGAGACAAATTAATAAATTCAATGCGTTTTTTTTGAAATAACTCTCAAATATTATTTTTTTGTTTATTTAATGATGAATAAATATGATTGCTTTAGTCAATCATAAAAACTAATTTAAGTTTAAAATAATGAAAGGATAATTTGATCGTTTTTTAAAATACAATTATTTTTGATGATTTGCAAGAATCTTTGAAAAGAATATAATATAGGTTCTATTTTTGTAAAATTTATCCAAATCATGTATTACATAAATTACGATTAAAACGATGAAAGAACCAAAAAGTGTGTTTTGTGTTTTGTTGTTGCGTGTTGGATGCGGGATCCTGTTATTTCCGAAATCGACAAAAAATTTGGAAATTTAATTTCCGAAATCGAAATTATATTAATGTTTTTAATATTCTTATATCAAAAGGATTAAAGTTCATTAAGAGAAAAACAATTCTTCTTCTTCAATCTATTGGCGCATTTATTTCTACACGCCAATAAGAAAGGGAAAATTATAAGACCCCATGGTGTCTTCAAAACGCTAATTTTTGATATTTTTAACAACCCTAAACGTTTGTCTACTCCCCAAAATAAAAACTCCGTATTTCTTGGAGGGTTAATTTCAATCTTTTGAAATG